TGTGTGTGTGTGTGTGTGTGTGTGTGTGTGTGTGTGTGTGTGTGTGTTTTAACGAGTGGGTGCGTTGCAGTGTTTTTCTATGCTAGTCTGAGTTTTATTGTGCTAGTTTTATCACCCTTGCACACATGACTCACCTGTAAATTGGGGCTCTCTAACCAGCTCTAATGCTTCTGACTTGTGTCTGAACGTTTCCATTGTTTCCTGTGTTGCAGGAGGACAGCTGCTGTGCTGCGAGTCTTGTCCTGCAGCTTTTCACCCCGACTGCTTGAACATCGCTATGCCCGATGGCAGCTGGTTCTGCAATGACTGCCGGGCGGGAAAGAAACCCAAATACAGAGACATTATATGGGTCAAACTGGGAACATACAGGTCAGAGAAACGGATCCCTGATCCAGTACTGTGTTGTCCTGTGTTGTGACCTCGACTCACACCTCTTCTTGTCCTCCCTAGATGGTGGCCTGCAGAGATCCACCACCCCAGAAGCATCCCCACCAACATCCAGCACCTTCGCCACGAGATCGGAGAGTTCCCCGTCTTCTTCTTCGGCTCCAAGGACTACTTCTGGACTCACCAGGGCCGAGTGTTTCCATACATGGAGGGAGACCGGGGCAGCAAGCATCAGAGGACCGGCATCGGCAAAGTCTTCAAGAACGGTGAAGATCGAGAAGAACTGTTCTTAGGCCATTTCTGTAATCCATCGATTAGTCATGAAGACTCGTGAAAGAAAGAGTCACTTCTTTGATTTGTACATTTACAGTTTAGGTTTATGTACACTTAAAGGAAACCTTTTCAAATGATGTTTGAGGACTCTTCAGCATCATATACAGCAGGCCAGCTTTGTCTAACTCGGTTATATAACATGTTAAAAAGAAGATTAAGACGATCTAGAAAAGCAAACATGTTCTAGTTGAAATCTTTTTAGATTTGGAGTAGTTTTGAAATTGCACTTGTTCCATTATACCGACCACTGTTGAGCATCAGGTTACGCTGAACGTTTCCACAGATGAAATGTAATGAGCCTCTACTCTGTCTTGTTTCCTCAGCTCTGCTGGAGGCTGAAGCTCGATTCAAGGAGATAAAAATAAAACGCGAGGCCAAGGAAGCACAAGAGAACAGCCGAAAGCCACCGCCATACAAGTTCATCAAGGTGTGAAATCTAAACGTTTGCATCTTTGCGTTTGTCTCTTTGTTTACTACCTTTTACACATGAAAGTTATCATCTGTAACTAATGTTTCATGATGGGGGTTTTTCCCTCCTATCAGGTGAACAAGCCCTTCGGTAAGGTTCAGGTCTACACCGCTGACGTGTCCGAGATCCCAAAGTGTAACTGTAAGCCGGCGGACGAGAGGCCATGCGGGTTTGAGTCGGAGTGTCTGAACCGCATGCTGCAGTACGAGTGCCACCCTCAGGTGTGTCCCAGCGGGGAGCGCTGCTGTAACCAGGACTTCACCAAACGCCTCTACCCAGAGACCAAGATCATCAAGACACCCGGCAAGGGCTGGGGCCTGATCTCTCTCCGGGACGTCAAGAAGGTGAGGCGACCGGCTGTCCTGTTATAAAAACACTCTTTTAGTGGGAAAATGTGCAAACTATCAGGGAAGATTCACTGCCCTGTAGCAACAACAGCTATGAGACATTTCTAACACCAACACATTGCTGGTTTGTTCCTCAAACAGGGCGAGTTTGTGAACGAGTACATCGGAGAGCTGATAGACGAGGAGGAGTGCCGGGCGAGGATCAAGTACGCCCATGAGAACAACATCACCGATTTCTACATGCTCACCATCGACAAGGTCAGTGACCACACAGACGCTGGAAGTACTTTCTGTTTAGTTCAGTTTGCTCCTCTGTGTGTCGGGGTGCTGTTTACTCGTCAGCAGTGCCATTTCCACTGGGAGCTAGATCAACACAATGGTATTGCATTGGGAGTGTTACATGATGAGCAGCTGTAGCATTACAGGAGTCAATACTACAAATGCATCCTCAGAATCACTGAATCCTATAAATACGTCTTTTAAATAATAGAATGACAATGTTAGGAACTAATCTACAGATTGTAAAAGCTCTAAAATAACTTGGAGGCACTTCTTCCTCTTCACGGTATTAAGGACCGGATCATCGACGCCGGTCCGAAGGGAAACTACTCTCGCTTCATGAACCACAGCTGTCAGCCCAACTGTGACACGCAGAAGTGGACGGTGAACGGAGACACGCGGGTCGGACTGTTCGCCGTCCGTGACATCCCAGAAGGTGAGACGGGTCAGAAAACAGACCGACGAGGGCTTTGTCTACACGACAATTCAGTTACAGCAATCCGACGGACACTTCATCTTTTACGCCAAAACATGTTGTTTTGTTTCTTTTCGTGTTTCAGGGACGGAGCTGACCTTTAATTACAACCTCGACTGCCTCGGGAATGAGAAGACCGTCTGTCGCTGCGATGCTCCCAACTGCAGCGGGTTTCTGGGGGATCGACCGAAGGTGAGCTTCACCATCACAGCTGTAAACTACTTCAGTTACCTGAATACCAACATATCAACTGTACTGCTTTTGGGACATTAATACAAATTGTGTGTTTGCAAATTCCCGGTATATTCGGTGGTCGGTGTGTTTTCGGGTCAGAGATCATGTCCCGGTGTTTCTAGTTTGAAAGACTTGAGTTGAGTGTTTTGAGGCTCGGGTTCAGAGAAAGTAGGTCCACTAAAAAGTGATGTTACAGCCTCATTACAGAACAAATGGTGTGTATGGAATTGTACATGCAGCATATCAAGCTTCATTTATTGTCTTTGTTAAAGTGAATTCAGGAGGATGTTTGTTTTTAAGTTGTTTTGAGTGAATCCCAACCTGGCGTCTCCTTTGCAGAACTCAAACGGCCCGACGGCCGAGCCAAAAGCCAAGCGGTTGAAGAGAAAGTATAAAAGGAGGAAACTTGAGGGAAAGAAGAAGTCCGACGACGATTGTTTCCGCTGCGGAGACGGAGGGCAGCTGGTGCTCTGTGGCAAGAAGACCTGCACCAAAGCTTATCACCTGTCCTGCCTGAACCTCACCAAGAGACCCTTCGGTAAGAAACACTGGAAATAATTCACCACACGTAACCCGTTTGTCTGCAAAGTTCTGTTGTAGATTTTATCGCTTATCAATAAGAAACAGAGCACATATACATCTAAGTTACATTTTTCCTGTTAACACAGCCCGTCATGTGGTTGATGTAAAACAGAAGCACACACACACACACACACACACACATCCATAGATCTTTATTTTCTACATACCTTGTTGTTGCAACATGTGTTCATGACTAATCAAATACGCGCTTCAAAGGGCTTTTCTAATACATTTAAATAACAAGACTTCCTGATTGTAAAGCACAGAAAGACTCCACACTGTCTGATGCAACCTGCTGCTGACAGAGTTAACTACTTAATGTTACGTTTGTTTATATTCAAACAAGGTTTGGATATATCTCTGTACATACAAGGAGTATCACTTTTAGATTACACTCTTTTGAATTTGAATGTGTAAAGATTCAGTTCTCAGAGCTTTCTTTCTGAGTTTATTCCACCACGGTTCATCGTGACGTATTGTGAACTTGGTGTGCTTGGCCCTCGCTCCCTGCAGGCCGCTGGGACTGCCCCTGGCACCACTGTGACGTCTGCGGGAAGAACTCTGAGGCTTTCTGCCAGCTCTGCCCCAACTCCTTCTGCAAGGCTCACCAGGAGGGGGCGCTGCGCTCCTGGCCTCCCACAGGACAGCTGTGCTGTCTGGAGCACGAGGAGCTGGAGGGAACCAACAACCAGGATCAGGGCGTCGCCTCTCAGACCAACGCGACGAAGACGACCCCCACTGCCGCCGCCGCCGGAAGCAGCCGTCCACCCAAAGGCAGAGGGAAGACAGAGGGAGCCGAGGCGAAAACTAAACGCTCCAAGAGGAAAGCAGCAGAGGCCTAAAACTAGAGTCTTTGACACCTGCTTCCACGTTCATGAACAGATATAAAGCCCACGTCATAATGTCTCCAACATCACCACAACCAAGGCACTGCACACCTTCACCATCGGGGAACGCCGCTTCTCTCTCTCTCATGCTCGGCAGCGGCCTCCAGCTCACCGCTCAAACCATTTTTATTTTTCTCTTGTCTGCACTGAGGCGACTCCCCTCGCCCCCCCCCCCCCCCCCCCCCCCCCCCCCCCCGTGGTGAAGCCAGCAGAGCGACGGTCAGGAGACTTCAGCTTCTGGATTCCTGCTCTTTCTTCCACCAACCAAGCTGCCTGTTTAATTTTTGTTTTATTGTCTTTTTTTTGTGGATCTAGATTAACAAAAGTAACCGGCTGATATCTGCAGAGAGGAAACAGAAGCAGCTTTAAATAAAACTGAGCAGCAGCTAACGCCAGTCAACAGCAGAGTTTTATAGCTATATCTATATATGTGTATATCAAAGAGCAAATCTATGATTACTGGACTAGTGTGAGACATCAAACAGGTTGCCAAATGTTTTTATTTTTATATATAGTATATATATATATATATATGTCGGATTTAATATCAAAACACTATGGATAGGCCTCTTCTGTTTTGTAGCCATAGGTTACATTTAACTGTAGACATTTGTTTGCTATTTTACAACCTGTTGTTTTTCTTTTAGCTCAGTTTTACTGTTTAGATTTAAATGATTTCTCTTTATTTAGTTTGGTATCAGGATGCTGAACACAGTTTGTCAGGCTGCCTGTGCAGAGAGCGAGGGGTTAACAAAGTATCTTGAACTGAGATATGAGAACACTACTGGGAGGTTTCTGGGTCTCTGGTGCTCGGTGCTGAACCAGACATGAAGGAATGCGTGGAACGTTTTTTAAGTTGAGTTTTGAGTTCTCGCCTTTTTTTTTTTTTTTTTTTTAACGTTTCTTTTTCCACTGAAGTATCTGATATCTGAGGGACAAAGATTAATAGATGATTCACATTTTGAAGGTCTCTGCGTCAACCGGCTTGTTGTTGATAAAATCATGCTGAGGTTTAAAAAGACGGACCTCATCTTTTACACTCTCAAGCTGCATCCTTCTTGTTGTTCACTACTTTAACTCAGGCTCGCAGCACATCTGTTTTTATTTGTACTTTAATCACGAAGAGGGTCCAGAAACCTGGAGTACGGTGGAACACTTTAGTCCGACTTTAACTTGAACCACGCGGTGATCTGTGAGCTCCAGCTGCACTTAACGTGTCACGCTTATGCTGCTTGTTTTGTCCATAATTACCCGTTTTTGATAAATACCATTTGCATCATCCAAGTCAAAAGAACAACTGAGAAACAATTGGCGCACACACTTTTTTTGAAAGAGATGAGCCCAAAGTCCATCCGACTGGAGCTAGAAACTAAGTCTTATTTGTCCTCAAAAGGCCACCGTAGTAGGAGCTTTGAACCAGTTTCAGATGCATGTCTGTTCAGAGAAAGGAACACAAAAGTTCTCCCTGATCATTGTCTCACATTTCATATTCAGTTTGTCATCAGTGAGTCTCTCTTTTGGGGTCGCTTAATGTTAAATTTAATATCTGACATTCATAAAGACACATCTGGACTGTTTTCATTTTCTCTGAATCGCTCCAAACAGGCAGCCATTTTATTTTGAAGCCACTATCTAAACATGCCGTTTCTTTCTTCCTCTAAAACATCTCCAAAAACCTAAATTTGAGTTGTACAGGCGTCACCGGGAGGCCGCTTATATATATCTGCACCTTTTCATTTGTGGCGTTTGTTTTTTTCTTCGTTGTTCGCAGGGCGTGTGAATGGGACATGTCCAGAGGTGCAGCGAGTCTCGTACGAGTGTTTTTGACTTTGTACGCATCCTAACCGTGACTTGTGTTGAGTGAATGTAGTCCAGCCAGTTATTTTTGTGAGCACTGTAATTCCCTGTAGAGCTGAAGTGTTATGTGTGAGTAGGGGTTTCATTCTGTAACTACTGTCATAGTAAAAACCAGAGACTAATATGTACATAATGTATAAGTGGTAATAGTCATGCATCTATTGTAAATAGTTTCTGACGTATGTTTTTGTTTTTTTTCTTGATGCAGTGCTGAAAAACTTTTCTGCAGGATCTCACATCTGTTGAATCGTGCAATAAAGAGTGAACAAAGATGAGATGTTTACATTTCCCTCTTGTTAAACTACTTTATATCAAAGCTGCCTTAACTTCAGCGTTGAAGCCTTTAAAAAAAAAAAGTTTGAGATATTTTAAAGGCACTAAAATTTGATAATCGAGGCATTTAAATATAGCAGCAGACAACCATTTGCTCTGTAAAGATGCAGTGGAGTAATGCGAGTATAGGCCCTTTTCTCAGCAGCCATTTTGACATAGGGTAAACGCAGGTGTGACTGTTGGAAATAGTTATGTTTCCATTCTATTTAGTGTGTCACAGCCATTCCAGTGAGCCAGCATCAACGATACCAGGGCCCTGAACCACCGACATGGAACAGGGCCGTTATTAATCACACCTGTGTTTACCATGCAGCCATATTCCAAGATGGCTGCTGTGAAAAGGGCCTATGAAGTCACTCTCCCTCTGTTTGAAGCCGAGCGTCTCTTTGTTTGTTTACTAAGCCGGGCTAACCACGCGTGCCTTTTACTGTGTATTCTGTGTGTGTGCGTCTCACTGTCATATTCTGAACACACACGTGCCGTCCTTTTTGTTTGTACGCATCAATGCTTCCACTGGTAACCGTGTGTTTAACGTCACATTGCTATGAATTGTGGACAATTCCCTTAGGCAAAGTCTGCAGAAAGGCACGCTATACTTTTTTGTTGTACTATACTATGACTTTTTTCGACATGCTATACCAACGTCTTTTTTCGACATATACTGACTTTTTTTGGACTCGTTTCGACATGCTATACTTTTACATTTTTGACATACTATACTATATTTACTTTTCCGACAGTTTCTGTAATGACATTTTGTTTTAAGATTTTATTTAGGAAAAGCTATTCAGATACTACTTTTGTAAAAAGAGGGATTTCCAGAAAAACATTTATATTTCTCAATGTAAGATACAGTAAAATAGAAAAGGCTGTAACTATATTAGATTCATCTGCAGATTATTTTCTTAATTGTAAGGTCTATAAATGCACACGTCAAGTTTCCCCGAGCTTCAAATGTCTTGTTTTTGCCGACCAACACAAACCCCAAATATATAAAACACAAGCAGTAAATACTCACGTCTGGAAATCTTGAATTAGCATGTTTTTGTTTTTGTTTGAAATATGACTTTAATTATTAACCGATTACCAAAATAGTTGCAGATTAACAACTCATTTCAGCTTAAAAAAAAAAAAGTGTTTTATTCCTTTGTTACTTCTGTAGAAAGTCAGCATTGTTTCAGCATTAGGAACTTCCTCCTCAGAATAACGTTTGCTGTATTCTAATGGATGAACTTGTTCGGGAGTTGTTCGTAAAGATAAGTCAAGTACGGATCCCAGACTTCAGTCCTCCAGAGTTTTTATTCCTCTTTAAGACAACGACAAAAACAAGTTTCATTTTGCATAACAGCAGTACAGCAGCGGCCGAGGGTACAAAACGCTTCTTTAAATCTTTCAGTGTAAAAATAACTCTACTCATACCTCACAACTGTGCCGTCCTCTCGTAGTGCAAACGCTTCAAATAAAAGTTAGGCACATGATGGATACGATACGATCGCAGTTCAATTACACTTTAGTGCTGATGAAGGAAAACGTCATTCTGAATTCATTTGTGTGGTTTCCAAGTTCATAACGTTCAACAATCGCAGACTGAAGAGATGAAGACAGCCGGAGTTTAAATAGCGATAAAAGGGCAGTTTGACTGTCTGTAGCTGTTAACGTCCGATGAAGCTTGATTCAAAAAAACAAAGACCTAAAGAATCCTATTCCGCTGACACGGCGATTATCCGCGTCAGCGTTTTCATCTAAGTGCAACTGAGTTTAATACTTTGTCTAAAGACCAACTACATTGCAAGCTTATGGTCCCGAGCAACATCCACGACTTCTCCCGCGTGGACGCTTCTGCTTGTAAATACGCTGAGCGAGCGTTTAAGTGGCAACTTGACATCTTTCTACTTTTAAGAGAAAAAAAAAACTAGCTCAAAATAAAGTAAAATATTTCCCAGATTTACATATGTTACAAATAAAAAATAAATATCAGCTCTGTGTTTTTTCAATCATCAGGCATTTCTACGATTCGTCGAGGAAAAAAAATTAAAAAGGTACAAAGAGCGACGTGGTTCCTCTCCGACTGACACAGTGCAGCTTATCTCTTAACGTGTTGCTCCGCCATCAGGAGGCCAGCACGCCTCGGCGGATGATGTCGGACCCGTAGCGCCGGCCGAGCGACGAGTCGCCCCTCAGCTGGTGGGAGTGGCATCGCTTCAGGCAGGGCTCCGGCTCGCCGTCGCCCGGTTTGGAGTCGGAGGCGTAGCCGTCGCTCTCCGCCCCCGTGCGGAGTCTGGTCTTCGGGTACGACGGCTCCGGGGTCTTGCGGTGCTCCTCCTCTTCCTCTTCCTCCTCGTCGTCTGCCGTCAGAGGCCTCTCTCTCCTCTTCGGGATCCTGAACTTCCCCCAGCTTCTAAGATGTCCGCCCACGTGTCTGTTGGTTGTGTGTGAGCCGTTCGTCTGAGTTTTCCTGAGCCAGCCGTTGGTTTTAGCTTTGGCGGCGGCTGAAATCTCATTGGCCCGATTGAGTTTAGTGTTGGTCGTCAGCTCCAGAGAGGCGGGGCTTCTTTTGGTCATCCGTTCGTCCAGGAAGTAGTCGTCGTTGTCAGAGTTCCTGATGTCCACCAGCCGGATGGACACAGTTTTCTCTAGCTGTTTCGACCCGAACCTGTTCTTCTCCTGGCTGGGGAAGCTTTCCGTCGTGTCGCTCCTCCTCTTCCTCCTCCTCTCCTCTTGCTCGTGGTCGTTTTCTCGTTTCCGTCTAGACAGCGCCTCGTGTTCGGGCCCCGGGGCCTCCCTCCGGGGGCCTTTCCTGCACTCGGCTCGGTGCAGCTTGACGGTGATCGTCTGCTGAACGACCGCTGGCTTGTGAAGCTTTGGGATCTGGATCTCCTGGCTGATCTCAGAGTTGTGGGTTTTGGCGTCGCTCGTGTCCTCGGCGGGCCCCGACTCTCTGATCCGGGAGCTTCTACTGTCCCTCGTCTCCAGAGGTTTGCTCAGATTCTCCTTCCTGTGAGAGTGGGCGGAGTCAGAGAGGCCCTTTCTGTACCCGCTCTTCCTTTTTTCCTGCTTTAAAGACGGCGGTTTGGTTTTCATGGAGGAGCGAGACTGGGAGCCCTGAGAGGACAACCAGCCCAGCGAGGAGAGCTTCTCTGGAGGATCGCCTGCAACACACACGAGGGATGTTTTTATATCAGCAACTGACTCTTATTGTGATGTGATCTTATAATTACATTGTTATGCACAGACGCAAAAGTAACATTTAGAGGAACACAAGTCTTTACTTTAAACATTACATTTAAACGTTTACTTATGTTTGTGACTAAAATACGACGTCCATTCAACCACCTCCCCTAATCTAATCTATCAAAATGATTAGAGATTCTGTTTTTTGTCTCACAGTCGATACCATGTGTAAATAATATTGCCGACTCACCCGAGAGCAGCTCGTGGTCGAGCAGCCGGACTTGTTGCTGGAAGATCTGCTCCTGGACCCTCCACAGCGAGCGCTTCATCTTCTCCCTCCGAGTCACCATGTAGGTGAGGTTACGGACCTGAGGAGCGACAAACCCTCATCAACTCGGAACAACAACCTCCAACACGGATCCATGCCTCTCTGTTTTATCTTAAAACACATCAAACACCTTCAAGCCCGGTTAAAAGTGTCATGAAATGATTCAACTAAATCATTATGCAGCCATATTTTAGATATATGTTCCATTGTATTTCTATTAAACATGTATGCATAATGTATTCAGTATAAATACTGATATCTATATGTATGTACAGTATATACACTATACTGGAGGAGAACCATGTAGCTAAAGTCACTATACTTCAAAAGGACTTGTGCTACTGGACTAATAACTGCATAAACATTAATAAACATAAACACAATGTATTTTAGCCTGCGACACAATTTCATAAGGCAATCCAAATGTGACAGAACAAAAGTCATCATATTAGGAGTGAGGAGGAGTGACTAGTCTCTGGTAGAGACCTGTCAATCACTGTGTAGCCCCGCCCCTAAAGCATCCCCTGCTTTATGGTCTGTTTGACTCTAAATGGACCATAATGTACTAAATGAACATCATGCTGTATTGAAGAAGACTTGAAACTAGAGATTGAGACCATAAACTCATGTTTACAATGTTTACTGAGGTAATAAATCAAGAGAGAAGTAGAGTCATTTTCTCATAGACTTCTATACAACCAGAGGAGTCGCCCCCTGGTGGCCACTAGAGAGAATGCAGCTTTAACACATGAAGCATCGGCCTCACTCAGCAGAACCAGAGGTTGCCGCCTGGAACAGTAAGATCATTTTTTTCTGGATTTTAACATGATCGAAAGCTGCTATTCTCCAGTAATACACTCAACACTCGTATGGTACATTGTTAAATAAAAGATATTTTAATGTACACATGCTTTGCATTTCTTCATGTATATATATATATATTTATGTTATTTCCTACATCTAACCCGTCTCTTGTACTGCTGCAACGTGTGAATACATCTCAGAATGCATCTTTGCTCCTGCAGGTGAATAGAAACCTACCCTCTCCAGGTCCTGCCGCAGGTGCGTGAAGAGCTGCAGGCGTCGCAGCAGCACCTCGTGCTCGCGGCGCGCTAGGCTCTCCTCCTCATCCTTCTTGGGCGTGAGGAGCGGCTGGTTGAAGTTGGCTTTGCGCTTCAGCTTCCAGTACTGAAACAGGAAGTCCACCACCTCCGGCTGCAGCTTCAGGTGACCGGCCACCTCCTCCACCTCCACAAACTGGTAGAACTCTTCCTCCATCTGCTGCAGCTTCAGCTTGCGCAGGCTGACTCTCTTCTCCTGCTGGCGGCTGGCGAGCAGCTCGAGGTCGCTGGGCGCCCTGACGGTGATCTGTGGAGCCACGTAGGACGAGGAACAGGGGGAGGCGTCCTCCTCCTCTCTCACCCTGCCTCTCCTCTTGCCCTTCTTGTCTCTGGCGCTCTCCTTCTCCTCCTCGCCTCCCGAGTCTCGGTCCCTGGACTCGGCGCCCTCGAGCCCCGAGTGTTTGGGGCAGTAGGACTTGAACTTGACCTCGTCGTCCTCCGTGAGGATGGTGTTCATCTCCAGGCCGGCGTGGAGGCCGCACGTCACGTGGAAGGCCGTCCGGCAGTTTTTCGCCGAACACTACAGCAGCAGACACACATGACAGCACTGTTGAACATTCGAGACTCAGAGCATCATACGACTTTTAACAAACTCATTTAATGTGCACTGAAAGTGGTGAAACAGAAAGAAATGTTCCGGCGGTCACATATTAAAGTCGCAGTTTGACTGTTGTCTGACGGAGCAATGCTGTCATGAACATAATGCTGAGATCATTTTTATCATATTTAACATCACGTTGAAAATTCAACGACAACATAATTAGACTAACTTGTAATATACTTCTACTGCAAACATTAGTTATTGGTGGTTTTACTTGAAGCATTAGAATGCTTAAGAAAACAAATATCACCAACTACAAACAGACAAACGCGGATCAGCCGACTCCTCGTCACTCTGTAACCACACCCGACGATAAACACCGAGCGGTCTGAACTACTCAAACACAACGGGTCACGCGTTGCTCTTCACGTCTCAGTGAAGGTGTCTGCGTCGTGGGGTGAAAGGTGAGACTCTACCTGAATGCACGCTCCGGCCTTCTCTTTGCACAGGCAGCACATCAGAGCCCACCTGTTGCTGGGGATGTGGGACACGTTGGTGATCGGCTCCATCTTCTCCGGGTTCCCGATGCTCACCTGCAGAGCAACACATGATTATTCACCCGCAGAGACGGCTGTCGTTACCATTTTAACGGTATCTTAACGGTTCCCTTTGTCATTTCTTCAAGAGAAAGAGAATTAACATTGCTGTATTTTTGTCATACAAACCGTGAATGAATATATACATACATATATATATATATATATATATATATATAAATTGTTGAGTAGCAACTGCAACAGCATTGTTTTTAACAAATCACTATTGTAGACGCTCAAATGTTGTGCTGATGGAAATGTAAAATACAGTGTAACCAGACTTTTCTTTATCACTGCGCCATCGTCACTGAGAGCAGGCAGAAACAGAGCTGGTGGGATTAAAGATGACGTTTATCTCTAAATAATAATCTATTTTCTTATTTTCTTCAATATTGAGAGCGGGTTTTGGGCCGTCGTTTAAGGCTGAAAAACCTACCTTTAAGATTAAAAACTGTGTTTTTGAGTTGCTGCTCATGTGTGAAGATAAATAAGTTCTCTGCAAACATTTTGTAAAGATGCATACAGTACAAGAACACTGCATCACAACGGAAAGAGTGTAAAATGAGATCTCATCTTCACCTCTGGGATCCACAAGGCACAGCTGACGTGGACCCACTTGGTTCCGCTCCGGGTGGGCTTCATGGCCCCCCCCTTCTTCGGACATAACTGGCACTTTGGCAGAATGCCGAGTGCGCAGATCCGGCACAGCCAGCTGCCCTTTGGGACTTTCTGGATCCCGTAACAGGCCTGGAGAGAAACGCAGAGAGAGGACGACTCAGCTTCAACAAGTGGAAATCAATACAGCATCAACAAGAGAAAGTAAGTAAGTGTGTGTGTGTGTGTGTGTGTGTGTGTGTGTGTGTGTGTGTGTGTGTGTGTGTCAGATGAAACCAAAGCAACAGCTGGTCTGAGTGTCAGACGAGGCGTTTTCAATTTGATTTTCTACCACAGCGAAGCGAACTTAATCATAAAGGCAGTTTAAGTCCCTAAGAGCTGCAGCGTTATCACGGTTTGGTTAGAAACTGTGTTAAATGAGCAGCATTTCTTTTATAGATTTTTTTGTTTGTACAGCGAGTTCAGTGTGTGTGTTGACCTCTGACCTGGTGAACGCAGATGTTGCACTTGTCGCAGAACACCATCTCGTTGTTGTCCTCCCCGTCGGGCGACCGGCAGACGTCACACACGACGTCCTCGTCATACTCGATGCCCAGCCCCTCCTCCGTCTCCGTGGCGTGCGTCATGTTTTCGTGGCAGCAGCGCTCAAACTCCTCCATCGCCCGCTCCATGGTGATCTCGTCCAGCGGTGGCATGGCTGGAAAAGTCGGGAGTAAAAAGTTTACTTATTTTGATTGTCACAAAGTTTTAGAATTTCCATTTTTCAGTCTGAAAAACGCTGCTCTGGGACATTTAAAAAAAAATAAAACTTGACATAAACAGCTGATATTTTAACCGACAGTGATGCTATCAGCCTTTTGTCTGTTCTGTGACTCACCCATCTCTGCAAACTCCCAGTTGGCAGTCTGCAGCCAGGCCGCGTCCTCCTCGTTCAGGTCGTAGCGGCACATCCCCTCCGCCAGCGTCCGGATGTCCACGTAGCCCAGCGCCTCGGCGCCCGACGTCCGGATCATCTTCTTTGGCTTGACGAACATGACCTCCTTTCCTTTCTCGGCCAACACCCTGCACAGCACCGACAGGAGACATGTCGGTTTACCGTCCGTCCATCCATCCATTTTATATACACTCGTTAAAATGTTTGTCCCGAGTTACGGTGCTTAGATATGTTCTGATTTGCATTGTTTTTCTCTCATAACATTATAGATCAATCAAAGACCAAAGGTGACCGAAATTAGACACATGAAGGTGTTTGGTCTGAGACAGAAGAAGGTAAAGACCAGCTTACATCAAAGTGCAAAAATATCACCTGAAATGCCAGTTAAAATTTTACTTTGGTGGAAAAAACAAGGTGAGACAACTTTTCAAATAATGATTGGTGTATATACAGCCTCTATCTCTAACTTTGTGCTCTCAGGATCCGAAACTTTCTGACCGTGAACCCGTCAAATCAAACTGAAATAAAAACAATGGCTCTCTAAAGAAGCAGCCTTTTAATGTAGTCTCAGGACAGGAAACTCAGGACTTGAACAAGTGACTTTCTTGTCTCCTACCTGGTGACCGGTAGTGGGATGGACTGGGGGCTGACGGGAACCTGGACGCCCTTCTCCCAGTCCTGCCGCCACGGGTCGGCCAGGATGTAGTACTCCTCCGGGTTCAGCTGGTACGAGTCGTGCACCTTCATGGCGGTGATCAGGTCAGTCCTGAAAACCTGCAGCAGTCGCATGAGAACAAGAGTCAGTACGGTTTACAATGATGCAACAGGGAAATATTACAGCCTGGGAAGGAACAACCATGCTGTTGTTTCAGAGTCTCTGACTCTGAGTGAAATATGCGGCGTCAGAAAATATCACAAAGAAAAAATATCACCATCAAATATTCTCTTCAGCAACCATTTTGATACTGGTACACCAACGTTAATGATTTCATCTGGATGACTCATCATCCTAAAGCCCACATAAGATCTGAGAAATGCAGAACTACATCTGAAGAGGACTTGTGAAGTGTACAATGTATGCCAATAGATATGTTTCCATAGAGCGACTGTATATCAGTGTTTACACAGGTTAAAAAAAAACTACCACGTTGTCAAAACACAGCCAGACAGGAACCAGCCAATCAGCATTCAGCTTAGGCTCGAGTCATTGTTTTGCTTGGATTTGATTGGCTCTTGGTCAGAGGGCGTGAACAGCGGCCTACAGGGACCAAGTCCACAGACTGTACAGTAGATAACAGCAGCTACGTTTCCACCCCACTGCCACTGCACGACGTGGAAGATTAAACTAAAATAAAGACCGTTTACAAATATCTCGTCATCGTCAATATCAATTCAAACCTCCGTGTGTTTAGTAACTCATTAAAGATTGTTTATAGATAGAACAAATGAATAAGACAGACAAACGCATGACAGCAGAATATGAGAATGAAAGCAGAAGAGTTGCGACCTAAACATACGTCATGATTCACTCTTCATCATCTTATCATGATGAAGAGTTTAGACGGACGTACCTCGGAGGCTTTCTGACCGGTCCCCCTCCTAGGCTGTGAGGAGTGTTGTGACCAGCAGGTGGAATTACCTGGAGGAGAAACACAACAGGGTGTTAAACGTCTCATTGTATTCTTTGTCTGTTTCTGCTTTAATGAACAACCTCACGTCCTCTAAAACACATTTGGTTTTATACCAGATGGCACATAAGATAGATTGGATAAGAAGTAAATCCAAGCATTGTATGCGGTGTGGTTGAACCCCACCCATCTGAGATTTTGTGGAGGGTGAAACAAACGCGACAAAGTGTTTCTGAAATTGTTTACTGATGTCAAATTTGAGTCTGTCTGACCTGGAAGGATGTTTTTAAAAGTGTCCCTACTCTGTCTCTCAGATGTTGGCCTTCTTTCTTGTTTCCTTAATCTTTGTCTATCTGCCCTCCTTTTCTTTTCTCTCTCTTGGTTTCCTTCCTGAACTTGAAGTATACATTTACTGACACTGGCAGTTACAAGATGGGAGACATATTCAGGAAGTGACAACTAAACTCTCACAAAAAACAACAACTGTTAAACCAAAATCTAATCGCTTCGCTGATTAAAAAGATATTTACAGACGAAAACAGCAACAAATATGACAACATTGGCGCATTATCTTAATGCAATAGTTTACTTAAAGCCCTGATTATATTGTGTGGTATTTAAGGATAAAAGTTGGCTTTTCCTCTGCAGCTTTTCACACTCACTTGTGAAATTGAGGAAGGTGGCAGAGTTGTGCTTGGCATGATTCAGGTCTATATTTGGACTCTGTATGAATGAGTCAGCAGAGATAATATTTTTGCTTACTTCCATTGTCAGAGTCATCGCTGCTGCTGGGGTGCCTGGTCCTCTTCATCATCTTCGTCCGTCTGCGGAGCTCCGGCTTAGGGAGACTTCACACAAACTAGACAGGAGGTTCAGTTAAACAATGGATTGATGACCATCTACAAGATATAACAGTTATGATAAAAGAACATTTTAAACATTTGGGAGTCTCAAAAACTGACATGTCACAACACACAATGATTAATCCATGACATACTTGATGAGCAAGTTAACAAGGCAACAACTTTATAAGACAACAGAAATCAATTACAGAATCATCAACAATTACACATCAAGTTTCTACCATAAATAAAAGCAAACGCATGACATAAACATTACCGACATGTTAAAGCACTCACGCTGCTGCTGAACACAGTTCATTTGCTGATTTAAGATCATTTCTAGACCAAACAACCAGCAGACTATCCCTGCAGCCACTTGCTCATCTTCTGCAGATAGTTTTGAATGTCTCTCAATGTTTACAACAGCTCTACTCTATTAAAAACATTAGGTTTCTTCAACATAAACAGGTAGATATCAAAGTAAAACAGTAGTAATGACACGTCGCTATCTGACAGCACACAGACAGCCCCCGTATCTAATGTTGATGTGTACATACATACCACAGTCAGAATAAGCAACCACATGCAACACGGGCAGGAAACAACGCCTTTGTACGAGTTCGGCTTGCGACGTGCAGAAAGCATCAGCGGGGACTCTAATACTCCCGACATGTGGACATATTTTAGGATCTGCCGGCAGCGTGCACAAGGAGGAAAGGTGCTAACAGGCTAACAGCAGGCTAGCTTGTGTGACGCCCCTTCTTCCAGCAAACATGCAACCGAAAGTATCGGCTAAATAACGAGCAGCTAACGTTAGCTAGCTAGACTAAAACACAAGGTGGCCTATATACTGTTAAAGCCTGACAACATGGTTAACACACGCAGGGCAAGATTCGTGTAATTTTTACAACGGTGGACGCTAATTAGCTATAATTTTAGACCACATAGCGTTGCGATTTTGTGAATCACACTGCAAATGCTAGCTAGCTAGAACTACCGTTACGCAACACGCGGGCCTATACGTAGAATGTTTTTCTACCACAAGAATGTTGCTACGTCAACTTCAAATAAGACATTTAGCATTAAGTGGCGGTTACTATCAACAGGGTTAACGCTACGCCTATTTTTATATACATGCGTTAGTCTGGACGTTAACTTTAGCTGACGTTTGTAGGTTAGCAACATCGGCTAGCTCGTTAGCTGGAGGCTACAGGTAGCTAGTTATCATTAGCTAACGCTGCTAGCATAATGTTAGCTTCTCTAGGTCAGTTATTTGTAAAGGGTTAAGGGTCAATAATTGATTCAAAAACAAACTACCCATCACGTGAACACGCTCATGAATGTTTCTAACTGACTACCTTAAATAACTAGTACAACAGTGTTGTTGTGCTATCTTGAGGTTGCTAGCCAACAGGGCTTTACTGGCTTTACTGGCTGATCCACTGGCTGAGGTTAATCTTTGGCGCCATTTTGAAATGACGATGTCGCGTTGCTCGTGCGACCATACTAGAAAAACATCGACTCGTTCAAAATAAGAACATCGTTAAGAAACATTCTGACAAATATATCTATGCAACATGACTTAAAACCTGCTTGTAGTTGAAGAAAAGAATTGGACGGTACATACAGAGCACTTCAGGCCGATGAAAGCCGGTGTTTTTGAGTTTTTTGATGTGTGAAGCGCAGGTTTTTTGGCCGTGAGTTCCGCTTGACCCGCATTCCACATACACAAACACCGGGGAGGAGGTTACCCAGACCGGACTGCAGCTGCGCCTATTCGCCGCTGGAGGGCAGCAGAATCCCCCTGAACCCGGTGTCAAATAATCCGACGGCTTCCAATACAGGAAGTTATGGAAGACCATTTCCGCCAGCAAAAAAATAAATGAAATCAAAAAATGACGTTTTTTAAAATTTACAAAAATGTATAAATAAATAAAGTTTATATTTTTTTTTATTTCGAAAAAAATAGAAGACATTTTTTTTCATAATTATATTCATTTTATTATTACTATTTTTATTTCAATATTTTTTGTTTCAAGTGTCATTCTCGGATGACTCATTCACTCTTTTTGGAAAGTACACAGAATTATCTATTAAGGAGACAGAATAAACTAGAATTTTGAAAAAGAAAATGCAGTTTAGTTAGGAAATGGTCTCTGAAACTTTAAAGAATGATCTTGAGTTGTTTTCAAGTTTATATTAATTTTTATGTATGTCTCTTTATTTTAGTTTTATTTCAGTCATTTTTGTATTTGGTTTAGATCTTGTTTATTTTTACTTGTCATGTTCTCAATAAAAATAGTGATTAGTATTATTTTTAATTAGTATTATAATAAATAATGATATAAACATATATTTAGTTCAGAAATGGCCAGTGCTGGGAGAATAATTCAAATAATATATATATAATTATATGGATTAAACTACCCGGCAGTATATCAAGGTATGTTAATATACTGCCGGGTAGTTTAATCCATCATACTTTATTGATTTATATTTTGTATTAATAATCTGATTCTAATAACTAATAACTGTTTTTAAGAATGTAGTGGAGTAAAAAGTACAATATTTACCTCTGAGATGTAGTGGAGTTGAAGTATAAAGTAGATTAAAATGGAGATACTCAAGTAAAGTACAGGTGCTTTAAAATTGTACTTTAGTAAATGTAGCCAACTTAGTTACTTATATATGTAAATATATGAATATTGCAATACTTTACAGACAATAGCCACTTTAAATTATTATTATTTAAAATGAACTACTTAAAAAGAACAAACAGGATGTGTGTCTTTGATTTAATACATGCTGCAAACATGTGGAATGATCAGAGGACAGAAAACAAGCGTACAGAACCGTTTGCTGAACAAAAAAAGGACAGTTTTATAGGTTTCCATCAAACAGCTTGATATTCTGCATTCACACCTCATCTACTGTGATACAAGGAAATCACTTCCACTGGTATGTATTCAATATGTGACGTACGCATTTAAAGCTGAAATGATGTAAATATCTTTCTGTTGTCCTGTGAATGCAACAAACATCTAAAGAACAGTTTGTTTAAATAACACAGGAATGATGACAATAAGCTGAGGTTTGTCCTACATGCAGCCCGAGAGGGACCGTGAACGCATCGCAGTGAACAGGAACACACAGATGCACAACATCACAAAACACAACACACGGCTGGTTCTCCAAAATTCAGCGCTTTCTAAAAATGTTACTTTTTTTTTTTACTCAAGGTTCCTAAATTCTTGAAAACAGATAAATAACCAAACAGATGCTTTTACCGTTCATGAATAATTATACACACACAGTTTGTAGAAATGCTTTCTGGCAGCAGTGTCGTTTTTACTTTTGATGTTTTTCAAAGATTTACTCCTCAGTTTTTGTATAAAAGAAAGAGACATAACGTGTTTATTAGTGCTCTTTAGATGTGCTGGAAGGCTGATTTTGGACAGAGCCAGGCTAGCTGTTTCCACTAGTTTCCAGTCTTTATGCTAAGCTAATCTAACTGGCTGCTGCCTGAAGCTTCATATTTGGCGTACAGACGTAAGAGTGGTATCAATCTTTTCATCTGCAAAAAACTCTTATCACAATATCTGAAAACATCACTGAGGTTGACCACAACATAAACTGGGAATGAATGTCCACGGAGACTGGAAACAGAGCTTGTATGTTTATGTCCCACTCCAAACCTTTTCAAGGCCTTGAAAGGTTCAACATGGCCACCTCTCTCGACCGTCCCGATGCTCATCTCACGGCCAGGATGGCGTCGTAGGACTTGCCGGTCCGGCACACCTCAATGTTACGGAAGCCGATCTTGTTGAGGATGCTGGTGTAGCCGGACGGCGGGCGCTCCCGACCCTCCATCTGCACCAGCATGTTGAGGGAGAAGATCTGAGCCGTGACGGGGCCTCGTCTGTTCTCAAACAGCATGGCCTCCACCAGCAGGACGCCGCCGCCTGCCAGGAGGACGGACAAACAACAAAGCTACCGAGTACTGAACGTGTGAGCATGAACGGATCAGTCATCTCAGTGAAAAGTGTCAGAGGAGCGCACACATTGAATGTGCATTTGTAATGTTTTGACCAGTAAACAATTAGAAAACAAAGCTTGATGGACATGTTCCTAGTTTTCAAAGTCTCCACTATCCTGCAGACACATAACAAATTCACCCCAATTCTATGGAGCTGTATATATACATATATAGATTGATAAATAAACACCTTTGGTAAGAGGGTAAATGTGTGTTTTTGGGGTGAACTGTCCCTTTAAACTCACCTGGTTTGCAGGCATCGTAGAGCTTCTTCAGCAGCATGAGGCACTTCTCTTCAGGCCAGTCATGAATGATTCTGGCCAGAACGTACAGGTCAGCAGGAGGAATTTCACCGCTGAAGAAATCTCCTGCATGAACAACAGGAAGTATGTGGCCGCTACTTTTTAAACAATCTACACTCAGCTGCCGTTTTGCTAGGAACAATAAATGAAGGGTCATTGTGGCGTCTGAATTTGTGCTGCTGTTAAACTGTATTGTGATATAAAGAGACTAATATCTAGTCTGTAGTCACAAACCACAGCCTCCAAAATAACTAACGTTGAATCAAAGCAGAAAGATCTCACCACAGGGTTCATTTAGTAGCTGTTCTGGAGCTTTCTATGAACTTCACCTGCAGATGGAGTTTGCCATCTCTTGATTAGTTGAACGAGGCAGAAGAACGAGACTCACCGCTTTGAAACACAACGGCGTCGTTCTCCTGAGAGAAATGTTTCTGAGCCGTTTCTATGACCGGCAGGAGGTCGAACACCGTGACGGAGGAGGACGGGTACGCCTTCGCCATCTCACGGGCCAGAGCCCCGGTGCATCCTGGGAGTTATTCAGACAGAAATAGTGTCAGTATGATAATGAAGTTTGGACTAAACAAACATTGTGACGGTGTCACTTTGGTTTTCAGGTAATTGGGACGTGATTTCTCACTATTTTCACAAACCAAACAATCAATTAATGGTGAAAATAATCAGCAGATTTAGCCAAAATTAAAATCAGTTAATAGTTCAAAATGAGCTCCACCTCAACTACAACAGTAATAATAATGTATTGATATAATATATAGTAGTAGAACAGTCACAGAGTAACATTTAGCTGATTATATTGACATACATAGGCCTTACAAACCTTTACTGATGTAACCTTTTCATTGCAGTAGTTTTATTAGTAATGGAGTAATTTTACAGTGTGGTATTAGTACTTTTACTGAAGTAAAAGTATCTGAATACTTCCTCCACCACCGTCAGTATGTGAACAACAGGAACTCAATTTATTTTTGACTAAAATCGAGTATAATTTAATCTATATAATATAATTATATAATATATCTCGTTGATTTATTTCATATATTTTTGCTATTTATCATATCCATTCGGTCAAAATGCCAAAAAGACACATAGTTGGACATTGAATGTTTATTTATTTGTTTATGGATAAACATTTTATTGGTATTATTCAGAGTTTACCCTCTTACCTCCAAGGTCTACTATCTTCTGAAAGCAGGAGAGGTTGAACGCCGTCGCAATGTCGTGTCCGTCAAGAATCCACGACGAGTTCATCAGACCCATGAATTTCAGCATCTCCTCCTCTGATCTGTGTGGAAACGTTCACAGAATCATATAAAACTCTAAAGGTTTTAGAGAAGTCACACGATTACATGTGAAGCAGTAAAATCAACCTGTAGACAGCTTGGAAGACGTCCTCGGGTGGAAGGCCGAATGTCTTTTCGTTCTGATTCTTCCCCTCCCTGCGTGAAGGAGAATCAGACACGACCGTTTGTACTCCTGACAAATGATGATGATTGAAACGTTTGCTCTGCAGACACTCCTCAGAGGCGCAGCAGCTCTGGAGGCGGTTAGCTCACTCACATTACTTTGCATGTTCACATTACATTTTCTTCTTCTCGTTGCTTCAGTCTGACATTAAATCACCAGAAAAACTGCACTTCTTCTGCTGCCAGTAATGCGTTTTTACAGACGATCTGATTGGTCTATCTCGCCAATTAACATGTGAATGACTCCAACTATTCACATCAAATTAATTATTATTATTTGTATTATTCTCTGTATGTAGAAACATGTGAATAAGAGGACAAAACAAATCTTTATTTTCAAATTGCTATGGTTATTCTGACAAAATAAATTTTGCAATACATCCGTACTTAACAGACACATAACTGGAGTTTAACTAAGTCTTGTGAAATGAGAAAAATGCAAAATGTCTCATTTGAACCCGCTGACCTGACGGCGTCCGCCAGGTTGTTCCACAGCGGGTAGATGGTCTGGGATTGGTAGATGATCATGTCGTGAAGAGACTTGCCGCTGCCTTTGGCCAGGTAAAGATTAGCCACGTCGGTGCTGCTGTACAAAGCTGAACAACAACACATTCACAGTTCAAATCAGGCTGTTTTAGCTCTCAGTATGAACAGCAGTTAGTCAGATAAAGGATTCGTCGACCGTTGTCACGATTCAAGCTAAAATTCAAAACTTCCTCCAGTTCCAGCGTCTCAAATGTGCAGATTTGTTCGGGTGTAGGCCACATGTAGTGTATATTGATACACTGACACAGAGTTAAGGTGGTGGTCTATTCCGTCTATTCTACAGCTCCTCCTCCTCACCTGTCCCGTCTGTGGTCTCCACCTCCAGGATCTCCATGCCCACCAGTGCATCCAGCAGCCGCTCCATCCCGTCCACGCTGGTGCTCAGCTCCCGGGCTACATGCTGGGCGCTCAGGGGCTCCGGGGACTTCAGCAGGAGGTCAAAGACTCCCAGCTCACAGGCCGAGAATATCACCTGGAGGGATTCAACACAGTCGATTTTTAATGACAGAGTCGGTCAGTCGGACCACCACTTTGGCCCGATATGAAATATCTAAGTAAGTGTTTGTGTCACATCTCTGCCACCATTATCCTGTTTTGTCCATCGCTCACTCACCTAATCAGTTCATTCAGTGCACCTGCCAGTCACACCCACCTCATCAGCTCATTACTCTGCTGCATCCACTATTTAAACCCCAGTCACACACGCACACACTGCCAGATCATTGACATGTCTACCCGCCCGTTTGGCTCGTCCTGTTCCCGGTTTTCCCGTCTGCCTCATTCTGCTGGATTTTCCCCCTCGTCTCTTGTCTCGTCTGTGGATTCCCTCTTGTGTTCCTGTTCTGATTTCTTGATCCATTAAATACCTGCTTCACTCAACTTCTGGTCTTGCCTGCATTTGAGTCCTCCACCACACCCCGTGACAGTTTGCCTTGACATTTTGTAAACGCGTGCGTGTTCCCCAGAGGATGAAACCCGCTGACTTTGGTGATCCTGTGACATTTCATTAAGCGTCACCACGAGGTTCACATTTGTGGTTTTTAGTGAAATTTGCTCAAACTATTTGACGAATTGTCCTAACATTTTGTGCCGACGTTCATGTTCCCCTCGACATGAAGTGTCATAACTTTGGTGATCCTCTGACTTTTCCATCTAGCGCCACCATGAGGTCAGAAGATTAATTTGAATAGTTCAATTAAAACCTTTTAGTATAGAGTTAAAATTGTTTGGATTATGATCAAAACAATAATAACCAGCAAAACTAGCTGCCTCAATTAATAAATGTTAGCACGCTAACCTAACATGGTTAACATATCTACTAAACATTAGTACGTTAGCATAGTCATTGTTAACATGCTGATGTTTGCATTTAGCTTAAAGAAGCTAGCATGACTGTAGGTTAGACTTGTTTAGACTTTTAGTGCTGAAAAGATTATAAAAATAAAATGAATAAAACTTTTTTTGACAAAATACTCAAAGATGTGATTATTTTGCTGTAATTTATGATACTGGACCATACTAACGAGCAAATCGGGAGTACGT